GAAACTGAGAATCTACCTACAATACTCGTCACAAATCTTGGAACAATAGTGTGATTTTCCCCTTCCCCAGGGTTGATTTGGGTATTACAGTCGTAATACGCATGGCTCAACATTGGGGAAGGAGAGGGGCACATTTGAGTGAGAGCAAAGGTGAGAAGAGTGAAGGTAAGACATTTTAAAAAAATACAAGGAAAACGGTTTCTGTTTCAACGAATTGTGACGAGGATTGTAGGTTTTTAAAAAAATTTAAACTATATTGAGGGACAGAGAAGAAAATTTATTTTGACCGGTAACAAACACTTATTTACGTCATCAGTAAGTCTTATAGCGTTTATGTCGTTTGAGGTCCATATGATCGCTGCGATCGCTGAGAAAAAAAAGGTTAAGCGATCGCACCGATCATAGCGATCACAAGGAAACCAACTTCCAGCGATCGCACCGACAACGACCGCAGAGATAGGAAAAAAGTTCCATCTCAGCGATCGTTGTCGCTGCGATCGCTACGATCGCTGAACTTTTATTTCTCAGCGATCGATCGCAGCGATCACAGCGATCATATGGAAACCAGGCTTTGGTAAGGGTTTGCCTTTTTTTAGGAAACTCTAGTAAGCGAGAGTGACACGAGATCTTACCTTCGCTTTCGCTCGAACTTGACCCAGGAACATCTTCTGGCTCACATTTCTTTTGCCTGAGATCGTGAACTGTTGTCCACTGATTTAAAGTTGAATTAAAGTAGAGCCGACGGTGTTCGTGATACTGTGTATGGCCAAGGAACTGCTCACAATGTCCACACTTTTGCCTGCTCCATTGTCTCTTCTTCCTACGATTCTCGTCCCCATGAAAAACTTTCCTCTTCATTGTTTAGAAATCAACTTTAATAAAACTATGAACTTTGCTAAACACGCTGGTAAAACCTGAAACGAGGGAAATCTCCGCACTCGTACGGTTTGTAAACAACTGATCGAGATTATAGTCTATTGCGCAGATGCTACTGCGCATACCGTGGGCTCGCTGTTCTTTTGTTTACGGGTCAGTGTCAATGAGCGTCATTCGCGAGGCGGGAAAAATCGACTCACATTTCTTCGAGTTCAAGCGCACTTTTGTTGGTAGTTCGTCGCCGGATCAAGCAAGTAGAATGGCAACACCGAGCGTAGAAAGGGAACAAACCGATCAAGAAACGCCACGAACTGTTCCAGAAACGCAACGGGATCTTGTGAGGCGACTACTTGGTGAAGTGTCGGAAATGCGGAAAGAAAATCAACAACTGCAAAGTGAAGTGGCAACGTTAAAGGCCAACGTCACGAAGAGAAGGCTCTTTCGACAACCCAAAGATAATGATCCTGAATGCTCTGTAAGTTATTTCTTTTCATAAATATTATAAAAACATATTTGCCTTTCAACCAGTATGACTTACGGTCAAGTCGCCCGAAAGTTATCTCGCCCGAAACCAGAGTTCTGAGGGTTAAGCTTAAGCTTATGTCGTCCGATCGCGAAATTTCTAGTTAAGTCGCTCGAGATTTTATCATGCTCAACAGCATCCTAAAATCTTTATCACGCTAGTTTCGTTTCCTCAAGATCAAATCTTAAAGAACGAGACATATTACTCTGAACTCATTTAAAATGCTTGTTTCGATTCACCAACGCTTTAAAGAACGTGATACCGTCAGTTAAATCGTGTGCACGTGACGAGAAAACATGTTCTAATTGGGTGCAAACATGACGGGTTTTGCCGCCAAACATTCAAATATAGGTAGGCGGCTCTTCGCACGTGAACCTCTTGATTTGTTTTTGCCCACCAAAATATCATTCGCAAACTTTTAGATGTTCAAAGAATAATTCTAAAAAGCAAGTGTGTTATTTCTGAGCAGGAAATATTCCTGAAAATTGAGAAAAATAACAGATGAGAACGTGCTGATCAAAACCATATAAACAACTTTTAACCTTGGCGTGACAGTTTGCTCTAACAGCTGTCAAACAGGTTAATGTTTGGTGGCAAAACATCATCGTCATGTCTGTCACCCTAACATGTTCCTTTTTTTTGTCTCATCTAAACTTAGATGCAACTGATGGTATACTGTAAAATTCCGAAAATAAGCCCGGGGCTTACATTTTTCAAAGGTCCTTTTTGAGGGGCTTATGTACGGACGGCAATTTGCATTTAAAAATCGATTGGTTAGCCTTATTCTAGGTAGGAAATTTACCATTTTTCTTTGATTACTTTGCATTTGCGGGCAATTTCCAAGTACAAGCCCCCCGGGAGCTTATATGTGGAGGGGCGATTAAATGGAGGGTTTTTTGCGTTACGATTTTGAGGGGCATATATTAGGAGGCGCTTATACATGGAGGGGCTTATTTTCGGAATTTTGCAGTATTACAAATTTATCCTTGCATCATCCCTCAAAGAACGAGATATATTATAAATGCTATTTCCTTGAATAATAGCCAGGCCCTTGGGGAGATTATAATTTTTTTTTGTGTCAAAAGGGGGCAATTATTTGAG